CCCAAACTCTGTCTCTTATACACATCTAGATGTGTATAAGAGACAGATGTGGGTGTGGTCGAGCTTTGATTAAAAGGTTTCAAAAGAGATCCAGGGGGTGAAGTCCCTGAAAATTTTAACTTTAGGGGTTTCAAAGGCTTATTTAATCGATTTAAGAGTCTACTAATATGTAGAAAATACATATAATTTTTTTTTTCCCCCGACGAATTGTGCTTTTTTTTTTTTTTGGTGGGGGGATAATACTAAAAATACCACAATATATCAGTTGTGAAATTTGGGGTTGATTTTAATGCCAGATAATATGTACATTCACCACACTTTAACAAAATCCTGGTGAGTAAGCATAATGTCAGCACAAATTCAGACTAAAACCAGATAATTTTTTAAGCCATTTTTGCAGTGCTTTTATTCATACTACTGAAGTAATAGAGATTTTCTTGAGAAAAACATCAGCTAGTCCTAGTAAAATTTAAGCAAGTATCATAATATGATGTTGCATTGTTGGTAAAGAATGCTTGCTGTATCTTATACCATTATTTAATAGCTATTTACAGGGTTGGAAAAAGTGTGTAATCAGCACATCACAATTTAATGCATACTGGTAATTAAATTTGATATTTATGTTTGCTCCAAACCACTAAATGTACTACTAACTATAATAGTGTAAAGATTTGGTGCTGGAGGCATTTGATGAAGATAATTTTCATGGTTGGAGGCACAAAATATCTTTTCCAGGCTTTGGCTATTTAATACAGATATCACTACCTCCTATTGTATTGCCATATATTCTATCACAGTAGTATCAGGCCAGTATAGGCATGTTGTTGTTAATATGTCTTACTGTAATGCTGCTGACATTCTTAATGCTAAATCACTTTTGTTGAATATTCCGTGCTGCTGGTATAAACTTAATATAGCATTCCTACTTTTTACTAATACTACATTATTTATTAATGATAGAAAAAAAAATTAAATCTAAAAATTGCCATATTTGTGTACTTTTTCTCATGAAAAATTCTTTTGCAAATTTGGAATTTGTAATTATTAGCTTTTCGAAATTTCCTTATGCAGATGCATAAAGCAGAAAGCCTGAAAAAGAACAGAAGATGTTGACATTACTGGAGTAATAGTTATAGCTGGTACTGACAGGCTGAGTCCACACTTCATCATTTGCTACTAAATCAAGAACTACCATGTTGCTGGCTGATTTGTAGCCTGAACCACTCTCATATGCTGAGACAATGTGTTGCCCATTCTTCATGATAATTGTCAAAATATTATTACCGTTAGATGAGCCTGATGTTAACTGGAAGACATAGATGCCTGGATGTTGACAAACAAACTTTCCTGTTTCTTTATTGTAGTTATTCCCAAAGTTGGTAATTATTAATGGGTATTTCATAGGACTAACTGGTAGGCGGCCTGGGTTTACATTATATCCAACTGAGAAGGCAGATTTAGGCTGGCTGATTGTGGTAGCTTGTTCACCTTTCTCTCCTTTTCCTCCTTTCTCACCAGTAGCACCTGGTAAACCGATTGGTCCTATTTTACCTGGAAGTCCATCTCTTCCATCTAATCCTTGGTTTCCTTTCTGTCCTTTTCCTCCAATATCTCCTTTCATGCCTACTGGACCAGGAGCACCAGGGGAACCATGGCTGCCTGGAATTCCAGGAATACCTGCAGGAGCAGCACCACAGCCACCACAGGCTTGGGTATCACCTTGAGTAGCTGGTTGTATAATGCAGATAATGCTGAGTTGTATAGCAATTGCAAGATACATTTTGATCTGAAATGATCAAGTTAAAATATTATTTATAAAAAATATATGCTCATTTGTCTTCAAGAAGCTGAACAGTCGTGAGTTTATTTAGGCCAACAAAAATAAATTTTTGTGTTTACCACGTTTTGGGAAAATTTTAAAAATTGGGTAGGTCAGAAGGAAAACTTTTTTTTTAAAACCAGAAATGCGTTTACGCTTAAAACAGTAGGGCAATTCCACCGAAAGCTCAACCTCGTCATCAAATTTTCACATTTACTGCACCTACCCAAGCAAGGTGTCATTTTGAAGCTCATACTATATACTTTCTGGTACAAATAATTTTACATCAATTTTTGTATATATATATATATATATATATATATATATATATAATTATTGGGTTTGGAGTTAAGAGTATCAAATTTATGCATTTTACCAAAAAATGTAAATTGACACATAACTGTATAAAACAAGTTAAACACTTCATTTATGATAAATTATTATTTTATATCAAAGTGTACTAAAATATCTGCCAGACTATAACAACAACAAAAAAATTATAATTGTCGGAGTTTGCATTAATTCAATTTTAATTAGATTAATTTTTTTTGTATGTCCATAACCAAAAGTTCAATTTTTTTTAAATATCAGGTATTAAAATTGTTCTGTATAATACCAAAAAATATTTGCAAAGTAGGGTTTAGTATAAGTATAATCATCTAAAAAAAAAAAAATTAATCTTCGAATTTAATGTCAATATTTACGCTATAATTTATATACGTCCATAACCGTACGTTCATAACTAAAACCTAAAATGTGCATTGTGTTACCACTGAACATCTTGTAAACAGTGTGGAAACTAAAAATCTACTGATGTTCTTTATCAACTTTTACTATAACCATGACAACTATCTGCCCTCTAGTTTTATGAGTAATGTTCTAAAAGTAGCCAGTTATGGACGTACGCAGAGAAAATGACTTTTTCAAACATACATTTAGCATTTTAAAAACTCTGTGAGAATGAGAATGATTTTTTTAAAGTATATTGCGTACGTTTCAATTTTTTTTTTAGTTGAATTAAAGTATGTTACAATATGAGGCTTGCTATCCCAAAAATCAGTGACCAAAATATGAAAATTGACTTTTTAACATTAACTTTATTATTGCCAAAGTTATGAGTAAAAGTATTATGGCTTCTCTGTACCTAAGTATACAATACTGCAATATTCTTTATGCTATACTTAAATAAATACTGTAGATAGTATGCTGGTTTTGTGATGGCATACCTCATCATAACTGTAACCAAAGTTTATTCATGACATTAAAATTTCTTGAATTAGTATGCATTTAAGAAAATAGTTGACTTTTAATATTTTATGAATATCTTGACTTTTAAATAGACAAACATCATGTTGATTAATTTGTGTTTAGTATAGTGCCACAATTGATTTATATCACAATGAAGAAATCAATTCATGTATAGAGTGACATTTTAAAAAAAGTGAGAAAAATTGCCGTTATTGCTGCACTGCTACCTAGAATTTTAGAATTTTGCTTGTTAAAAATTTAACATTAATAATTGATGCATTCTGAATTACTTTTTATTTGTAATGATATTTTAGATATATAAAATAAATTCACATGTAGTAGGCCTACAATGTATACTACATAAGAAAAGAAAATGAAAGTTTATAGAAATAGACGTACCTACCTTTGAAACACATGATACTATAATCAATTTCTCAGGATCACTTATTGTACAGTAATAGTGTATGAAAAATGGATTATTTTTTGTTTTTAGTCCATAGTACACATTTTGAAAAGTTTTATTGCTTTATTTCAATAAATGATGTTTGGAAGTTGATATTGGCTAATTTGTGTATGTTTTTCATGAAAAAAAATAAGTGTATGGCCACAACTTTCAGACACGTACATCCATAACCATGAGTTTGTACGTCCATAACCACAAGAAAATGAACGTAAAACCTATGTACAATCAATAAATGAGACTAGTTAAATTATATTAGGAAGCTTTAAGTCCATTGTATACACACATATTTTTATTTATATTTTTTAGACCTCACACTTCACAAAATTTTTAAAATGTTTAATGTAAGTTTGAAAAAGTCGTTTTCTCTGCGTAAGTCCATAACCGGCTATTTTTAGAACATTACTCATAAATTATAAAAGATAGAGGGCTGATAGTTGTCATGGTTATAGCACTAGTTGGTGTACCTGAGATGTCCATATCAAAAGTAACCCAAACTAATTGGCCTGTATTGAAGGCTTTAAGTTCTCTGTACGTCCATATCTATGGAACTGCCCAGTAGAAAATACAAAAATATTTTGTATATTTTATATGTTTTTTTTTTTTTTTAAATTTATTTATATTTATATTATATTTATTATATTTATTTTTTTTATATTTTATATGTTTTTATATATTTTATCTATTGTTGTTGGCCAGGGGCCTAGAGATGACCACCTGTTGTGTTGGGCTTTAGCCCATATCTAGTCACGCCCCTGGTCAATATATTTATATCTAATATCGTGATAAATTTTTAATAAATAAGTAATACAACAATTTTTGATTCGCATCGGGTACCAAAGCTATAACAGCCTTATTAGCTCATGAAAAATATAAACATAACATTGTTGGTTGGGTGAGGAGAAGGTGGGGGATAAGCACCTTTTTGCCAACCCCTAGATATGCCAGTGCTGCTACCCAATATTTTTTACTTGATGTGTTACTTCTATGCATTGGAGTATGTTTTACACAGAAATTAATATTTATAGATTTTACATTTATATGAGGTCTGTCAAAATAATTTTGAAAAGGAATAACGAGTCGAGTGGCCAAGCGGTAAAGCAGGGGCACTTCTAACTACTGCCTTAACATTTCTGCTGGTTCCAGCCGCTCTTTGCTCGGAGTAGAACCAGGTCTACTCAGATAAAGGACTTATAATGGAGGTCCAATGTATACATCTGGCACTTTAAAGAACCCATTGCATTTTTTGGAATAGTAGGGGGTTATCCCAATGCTATGGTTTATTTTAAACCATGTCATTGTGAAATGATGTGAACATGTAGCTATCTGTAAGCGCCTCTTCACGACGGCTAGGTAGTCACGGTTACCTATGGAAAGCTCAACACTAACGGCGGCGGAATGTTTTTGAAAGTGTGGGGGGCCATTTCATAGGGTCTAGTATGCGAGCGAAGCGAGCATTTAGGCCTGGCAGGGGCCCCCGATGGGGGTCCAGGGGCGAAGCCCCTTTGAAGCTACGGATATTTTACGAAGTTTGGTGAATTTTATAAGTTATTTTATAGGAATCAAGCTACTGTAATGTGATTTCACATTTGTTGTAATTTCCAGTGGCGGATCCAGGAATTCGAAATAGATGGGCCGCAGGGATGGTACTTTCACAGATAGAAGATACTACAGTACTTCAGCCCCACATTGGTTGGGGCTGAGGTAAGAAAATTTGTGATTGTGGCATCTCTAAAAAGCCGGAAATTACACTCTCAGACTTAAAATTTGAATATAATTTTTCTTATATCTGCATAAAAAAAAAAGTTGAACAACTTAGCCGGCCCCCGCCCCCTTGAACTCGCCACAGATTCCCGAATCCTTGATATGGGTTCCCCGACGAAAACTTCACTTTTCCCCCGATGGATAAAAATTACCCTTTTATGTAGCCCTGAAATGATACTCCAACTGTGGCGGGTCCAGGAAGTCGAAATAGAAGGGTTCCAGGGAGAATCTTGCCCACCTGCCTCAGCCCCACAAAAATGGCACTCTCAGATTAAAAGTTGAATACAATTTTGTCTGTTTTCTCCATTTTAAAAAATAGATTTGAAAAAATAGGAGGATGGGGTTCCCGTGCTGACTGGGTTCCCCCTTGAATCTGCCACTGTTCAATATAACACTTGACATAGCCTATCATTTTGTTTCACAAATGTTTAATTCCTAATGTCAAGCAAAAGTTTTTTAATTCGAAAGATCATTTTTTTTTTTACTCAATATTGTTTTTACAACCTATAACCCATTAGCTAGAGTGTACTGAAAATTCTGTTGTTAACCTTTCAGAGAAATTTATTTTTAAAAATGGCCTAATTAAATATCTTATTGTTTTCGTTAAATTAGATGGAGTTTAAATAATAATAATAATTTATTAGGAACTACACTTTTCAATCAGTGGCACACTTCTCAATCGAAGGTACGTCCAAAACAATATGTTACAGTAAAGTTCACAAAAAAGACTTACGCTAAGAAAAAGACAATTCAAATTTTCAAAAGAGACATTAAGGAAAAGTAAAAAAGAAACTGTTCAGCCATATAAAATTAAAAGCAATCTTAAACTAAAAAAACTTATGGCAAAATAAAGTGATGCAAACAATCACATGAACAATTATACAAACACCATACAAACGTACATGAAATACACATACAGTACATAAGTACATATATATCCATACACAACTGTATACTCATGTCACATGACAGTACCGTACTCACAATTATAAAGATAAAGACATACAGTACATACTTTATACAACACCACTTATCACACAAGAAGCACACATATCAGGCCAGATAACACAGATGCACACAAAAGTAAATCAAAAGTCATGAAGTAATACAGGACTAAAATAAAAAATGTTCATTTTTCCATGCCCTTGTAGCATACCTTTTATAAAACCTGTCAAATTTTTCTTCAATTTCTTTTGGAAGATTTAGTGAAAAAGAGCCAAGAACATATATTAACTTCTGATCAGTTGTTGAATTTATAAATTGGTTCCAATTAGGCCTATTTGTATTTACTATTTCATGTTCAAGCTTTGCTAGTTCTTCCAATCTGATG